GGACCAAAGTGTAAGAAACTAGATTAAAGGACTGAAAGAAACGATCTGTTCTCTTTGAATTTCATACTTAGCAAACATACCTACCTTTGAAAACTAAAAGTAAGATTTTCTAGTTGTACAAACTTGAAATATTTTAATACCTCCAGAAGTAGCATATAGGAAATAACAAGGAGCATAATTCAAAATGCAAGAACTGCACCCTTCTTAATGACAAGCACGTAGCTCGAGGCCGAGGAGCAAGCTGTATTTCCCCGTAGGACAGGTGGCATGCCCTGGCTTCGATGCTATCTCATGCTGTTTCCTGGTATTCAGAAGAATGTGGAATGCGCAGGAGGGGCCTCAATCTTGATAATGTTTTACCCTCTTGAGCTAAATAAAGCCATGGTATAAAAATGTATGCATTTTATCACAATGATGTATTGCAACACTAAAAAATCTAAATGCAAAATGAACTAAAACCAAACAAGAAATCAAGAAAGAGAAAGGGAGAGAAGAAAAGGTAAATGGAGAGGAATAGGAAAGAACAAAATGAAAGGAAAGAATTCTCTTGAACAATGTTATCTGTGATAATATATAATATAATATAATATAATATAATATAATATAATATAATATAATATAATACAATATAATATAAATTTATGGTACAGGGTCTCACTATGCAGCTCAGATTCATAGTGATCGTCCTGTTTTCAGCCTCCCCAGCCCTGGGATTACCAGCATGTGCCACACCTGGGGACCGACTCAGCACACCTGGGGGCAGGGCTAGCACAGCATGTGGTACCAGGGATAAAATCCTGGTCGCTGCACTTGCCTAAGTAGGCGCTTAGTCAGCTGAGCTATTTCGCCGACCCTCAATGTGCATTCTTTTTATTATTTATTTATATATTTATGTATATATTTAGTACAGGGTCTATAGGGTCTCTGTATACAGATTGGACTCCTAGTGATCCTCCTGTTTTCAGCTTCCCAAGCACTGGGATTACAGGCGCGCACCACCATGCCCAGTCTCAATTGCTGTCTCAGGGCATCCCGGGAACAGGGCCTGCACAGCATGCCGGGGATCGAACCCTGGCCCGTGTATCTGCCTAAGTAGGCACTTTAGTCTGCTGAGCTGTTTGGCCGGCCCCAATGTGCATTCTTAAGCATGTGTCTTAATCTAGAATGCTGACACATTATTTTCTCAGAATACTTGTGAATAGAAATTGTTGGCCAGAAAGTTTGAATTTTTAATGTACTTCTTGCATATTACCAAATTCTTTTTCCAAAAATCTGTATCTACCAATATTTCCTTTTGTGAGTCAGAAGATAATCCACCAATGCACTGCCACTAAAATCAAACTTTATCTTTGTTATATTTTTACACTTGAAAACTTGACACATACAAGTGAGTATATACATATATGTGTTTGTATGTTTGCAAAATAAAGAGAGATTTTCATTCAATTAGCAAGCAATGTTTAAACTAATACTGAAATTTTTTGTATATTTGCTGATCATTGCTATTTATTGAGAAAGCAAATTTTGCATTTGATCTTTTCTATTTCCTATGCGATTTATTCATTTGTAAGAACTCTTTGTATATTAACTATAGTAACCATATATACTGTATATATTGAGGTTTTAGTTTTTCTTTTATTTTAATTCATAGAACATATTTAATTAAAATATTTTATCTTCTAATTATAAATACAATCGATATTCATATTTTTTAAAAAGCCATAGAATGTAAACACAAAGAAGAAAATGAGGGTTGGGGAAATCGCTCAACAGCTTAATTGGTCTTAAGCTCAATCCCTGGTACCAAAGTAAAGAAAATGAAAATCAACCATAATCACACTGTCTTTCCCAATGCTTTTTTGTGATCATAGAAAGCACACATTATGCACATTGTACCCAGCTCTTTTAATGTAACAACAAAACAAGACGTTGTTGTCCATATCAATAATTACAGCTGTGGGGCCAGCAAGATAGCTCAGAGTCTAAAGCACCTGCATAGGCAAGTGTGCAGGGACCACAGTTTGATGCCTGGCACCACATGCCATACCAGCCCTGCCCCCAGAGAAGGCTGAGCCAGCCAAAAAAATAATAATAATTATAGCTGCACATCATCATTTTAATAATTATATAGTATTAATGTACCAGGGTTTAAATAATCCCCTATTTATGAATATTTGTGATTTTTTCTCCTTAAAATGTTTCATTAAACAATAGAATACATACCCATGTAACTTGTTACTTTAGTAACTACAACCTAACCTGTTCATACATGATTTGTAGATGAACTGTTAAATTAGTTCTACCATCAAATGCTGTTAACACTAATTCCTAAACTACCCTCTAGAAACACTGCTAACTCAGCAAATGATTTAGCTGTTACTTTTGACCTTCACCAATAAAGATGGAAGAAATAGTATCACATGGATATTTTAATCTGCTTTTCATTGTACTAAAAATAATATCACTTCCTATTTGAGGGGAATTTTGCATTTTTGTGAATTGCCTGTTTTAGATGATTAATGTTCAGGAATAGATTAAAGATATATATGGGGCTGGTGAGATGGCTCAGTGGTCTAAAGCACCTACTTAGAACAAGTTTAGCGAAACATATGGACCGCGGTTCAATCCCCAGCACCACATGCCAGCCAGCCCCGCCCCCTGGTGGGCTGAGCTGGCCACACACACACACACACACACACGCGCGCGCGCAAAAATAAATAAATAAATAAATAAATAAATAAATAAATGATATATATGTTGCTTATTTTAAAATGTGAATGGACTGGCCAGATAGCTCAGCAGATGAAAGCACCTGCTTAGGCAGAGCACAGTGGCCGGGGTTCCATCTCAGGCATGCCACGCCAGTCCCACCCCTGGGGTGCGCTGAGACAGTGATTGAGACTGGGGGTGGTGGCATACACCTGTAATCCCAGTGCTTGGGAGGCTGAAAACAGGAGAATTACTACAAGTCTGATCTATGTAGTGAGACCCTGTAAACCCCATACTAAATACTTACATACATATATACATACATACATATATAAAATGTGAATGGTGGAACTACAAAGCTATTAGAGTATAAGTAGGGGAATTTTTCATTAGAATTGGGAATGACTTGTTAAACAGGAGATAAAACCTAACAATGAAAAAAGATTTATAGGTTAAGCTGCATTAAAAATTAAAATTTCAACAATAATTGTCATAAAGAAAGCAGGACAAAGCACAGAGTGAGAAGAGATATTTCCAACACATAACTAAAAAAGGGCCAGCTTTTAAAATATGTGAAGGACCCTTAGGTTCACTAAGAAAAAGAGAGACAAGCTAATTGAGTAGTAAAAACTAGAATAGAAAAATCAAAACAAGAAATAAAAATCAACAATAAACCCATGAAAATATATCCAGCCTCAGTAACAAAAATCAGGGGAATTCAAATTAAAAAAACAATGAGTTTGCGTGACCTATTATTAAATTGGAAAAAATGCAAAGGGGAAGAATGTTGAACAATGAGAATCTCATCTTTTACTGCTGAGAGTGAAATTTTAGACAATCATTTTAAAAATTGGCAGTACTTCAGAGATGAGTGCACCCCATGATCCAGTCACGGATGCAGCCCCTAGAGAAGCTTCTGTACATGTACAGGGGACACACATGAGATATTGAATGTGTCACCTTTTTTTTTTGGCTTCACTTTTTTAATGTATTTGGTACAGGGTCTCACTACGCAGCTCTGTCTTGTACTGATCCTCCTATCTCAGTCTCCCCAGTGCTAGGATTACACCCCCAGTCTTGGTGGCCAACTCAGTGCACCAGGGGGTGGGGGTGGGGCTGGTGCAGCACGGGGTGCCGGAGATCCAACCCTGGTCCCTGCGCTTGTATAAGCAGGTGCTTAGTTCACTGAGCTATCTCGCTAGCCCTCTGCACTTGCGCTCTCTCTCTCTCTCTCTCTCTCTCTCTCTCTCTCTGTATTCAACAGGATTTCTTTTTGTCTCCCTTCCATCCTTCCAAATGTGTCACTTTTAACAGCAGCTAAAAACTAGAAACAACTGAAGAGGCCATTGATAACACACTGTAATAGTCCCACACTGGGATACATATAATGAAAGCTACACCCTCCAGATCAACATGGATGAATTTCAGATATATGATTTTAAGCCAAAGTGACAAGACCTGGATTAGTATATACAGTACTATATAACTTGAAGTTTAAAAGGGGTAAAGGTGCATGCACATGTGGTAAAATTATTCTAAGTAGCGTGAAAACCATTACCACAAAGAGTAAGACCATTACCTCAGAGCTGGGTTGAAAGAGCATGATGGGAGAAGTGGGAGAGGCTCTCCTGGAGCACTGGAAGACAAAGTTCTTGACCTGAGTGATGATTACTCAATGGCCGCTTTATACGTATCCATTAAACTGTATATAGATGTACCATGCACTCTACTTACCTATTTCATTTCTAAAGGTGAATTTTAAAAACTGTTATAAAAAATAAAACTAAAAAATAAAAACTGTTATGAGCCAGGCATGGGGGTGCATGCCTGTAATCCCAACACTCACTAGGGAGGCTGAGGCAAGAGGATTGCAGCAAGATCTAGGCCAGCCTGAGCTACATGGTGAGTTCAAGGCCAGCCTGCACTACAAAGCAAGACAGTCTAAAAAAAAAAAAAAAAAAAGTAAAAAATGTTTAAATTAAAAAATGAACCATTCCTTCCATGAATTGCTTTTACATGTGAAATAAATCTCTACCATGCTGTTATTTTTACAAAATATCCCCTTTCCCCCTTAGGGTATGTATTTCTATTTGGTTTTTGGTCTGCCCTCATGGGAACCGTAGACATGTATAAACTCCCCCAGGCATCTGCCCAAGGTTTCATCACTCTGTGCATCTCCTGTCCAAGAATAGGAGACTCCTCGCTCCTGGGCTGGGGGAGAAGGGGGTGTCCTGGGACTCGGGTGGAAGAAAGACAAGGAAAGGTAGAAGTGAAACCACAAGACACCTGAGGGAGAAGTAGTCAAGCATCCTCCTCAAAGAGATTTGTTTTGTGTGTGTGTGCTTTTCTCTTTTCATTCTACGAATGCAGACAGGATATTGAACAGCAGCTGGGCTCCCTGATCTTGGCCACAGACATCAACAGGCAGAATGAATTTCTGACCCGGTTGAAAGCTCACCTCCACAACAAGGACTTAAGACTGGAGGATGCCCAAGACAGACACTTCATGCTTCAGGTAAACAACAACAACAAAAGCCATCGGCTTTGCTCCACCAAAAACATTTAGGGCATGATCAATGATTTTAGCACATCTGAGGAGTTTTTTCCCATGGTATAAGTTAGAGTAGTGACCTACTTTATTAAAAGCTTTGAGACACATGAATTGTTAAGTGGTTTCCAAGCAAAATCTAGGTTTCACATCAATAAGTTGATAATATCTCGCTTTTCCTTGTGCAGTAACTACTTCGCCACAAAGTAGCCCCACTAGATGGTTGCACACACACAATGAGGGCTGTTTTACTGCTTTTGTGTTTGTGTTTGCGGTGCTGAGCATAAAAACCATTGAATGCTAGGCAAGCATTCTACCACTGAGCTACACCCTCAGCCCAAGTGTTTACCACATTTTGTGATTCTGTGGCTACAAAACTGACCTGTGTGATACTGTGCGGTTTTGAATGGCTTTTTCTGCATCATAAAAGTGTATTGTTAATCATAGTACTATCAAAAGTTGAAAGGCAAGAGACTTTCCTTTACCTAAAATCTGTTTGAATAGGTTTTGCTTTACTATCTAAACTGTTCTTTTCACCTGAGGGGTACTATTCTTAGATGCCAATAAATAAACTATTTTAAGTTTAACTCAGTTGAAGTGACTTGAATTGAGCCCAACCCTTCCTCCTTTACTCCATAACAAGAACTTCATTTATGACTGAGAATGAGGTCAGAGTTGACCTGGGAATTAGCAGTGTGACCTGCTATCCAAACCAGAGCCACCTTCTTGCTTCTTCATAGTCTATCTTCCTTCTAACCTTTTGGCACAACAGACCAATCCCGTGGACCATGAACTCATCTAGATAGATCAACTAACCAGGGAACTAAAGACTGATGCATCTGATGTCTTTGTTCAGGTTCTCATGCAGTGCTCTATAGCTACCCAATGTTTCCACCCTGTAGCCAGGAAGTACCCTACTCCCAGCTGAAAAGCTGTGGCTCCCTCCTGCCTTCTTCCCAAGTGACTTTTCTGGTACCCCAGTGCTCAAAGATGAAGCAGATGTTTGATTTGAGTGGCCCAAGCCAAATTATGAATAGTGAAAAGATTTGACCTGAACACTCACATTTCCCAGGGAAGACTTATTAACTGAAATGAATCCTTAAAAGGCAGATCTGGAGGGGACACCTACCCCTTACCTACTCCAACACATAGCAGTGCCACCACCAAGTAGGAGGTAAATAAACAACCAAATTTGCAATTTCCTGTGACCCAGGACTCTCCCAGATACCAAGGAAGTGTCAAAACAATGGACACTAGTGGTAGGCCAGGCTCTTGGCAGCAGTCTCTTAGCAGGTAATGGCCACAGGAGAGAATCTATCTGACCAGAAATTCAAGGTGACCTCCCTGGGGTCAACATCACTGACATTCCTGGTGCAGACCAGCATGAGCAAGCCAGGAAGGCCCAGAGTTAGCTGTGCAAACATAGCACTCCTAGTTTTTCTGTAACTCAGCACCAGCACTGGCAACTGGAGCTCACTTACACATGCAGGTGCAGGTAGAGAAATGCAAACACACATAATGTTAGTGCTATACGGATTGGGTCCACAGGACAGTGAGGCCCACATGATCTCATTGAGCCTGGCCAGGACTCCTGCAGCCTCACTGCCTGTAAGAGATGAGGAGCCAAAAAAAAAAAAAAGAAAAAGAAAAAAAGAAAAAAAAGAGGTGAGGAGCAGGGCCCAGGCTTTCCTTGGCCCGCCTAGCCCAAGACTCCTCCAGGAAGCTCTGTATCCTTCAGCTGTGGCTCTTCTCTCCTTCTGGCCTTTATAAAGCAGAAATTATAAAAGAAGGGTTTTGTGTAGTTGTGAATAAAGGCTATTTCCTGAAGGAGCCAGACAGGGAGGCCCTGTGTAAATACAGGCCTAGGACCATGTGAAAGATCAGCAGTCTCGACAGCACCGTTGGCTTAGGGAATGTTTGCGCAGAAAGGTCGTCCTTTGACAGTCTTTCCCTGCCTTGTCATTTCTCAGATCGCCTTGAAGTGTGCTGACATTTGCAATCCTTGTAGAATCTGGGAGATGAGCAAGCAATGGAGTGAAAGGGTCTGTGAAGAATTCTACAGGCAAGGTTGGTAGTGATCCAGCAGCAGAGATTCCACTGCCCTTTCTCCTTCTAGGCATTTATCCTACGAAAACAGGAAATGGCTGATCTATCATGACATTTGTTCTTCCATCAACTCGTATTATCCTAACCTTTCTCATTAGCTCTCTTGCAAGCCATCCAACTCTTTTGTTTAAAAAAAAAAAAGTGAGTGAATAATGTTGACTTACTATGGAAACAACTAGGAATAAGGGGCTACAAAAAAGAATAAAAGTGGAAGATATATGTAGATATATAGATAGAAACAGAGATGATAGATGATTAATAAATAGACAGATAGAATATCTATCTAGTATATCTATCTATCTCTTTCTAATAAGGTGAGGAGCAGCCTGATGTTTACCCTGACATTCATTTTAATGAGCTGAGCACAACCTAAAGGCTAAGTGCCATTTTCAGTCAATGTCTTCTACTCTCACAGAGGAGGAGTCAGGTCTTTATGTCTGCCTTCCTCTTACTGTCTTAAACAAAGTCCATAGTGAAATAAAATAGGGCTGCCAGAAGATCAAGTTCATCCCTTTAAAGATAGTTTCAACACTGAAGCAGAAAAGTGTTGCTGTGAAAAATATGAATGGGTTCGAGAGAAAGATGAATGGCCCTGAGTTAGATTTTCGTTTTTGAAAGGTTACCTTTCTTCAGAAATAAGGCAATGAACTCGCAAGCAGGATCTTGATGTTGGGTGGGATAACGGCCTTACAACATAGCCTTGTTTCTTCAGGCTTGGGTTCAGTATCCAGGATGTTTGTTCAGGAACTAGCAGTAGCCTCACACTAGTGACAGTATCAGGTTTGAGAGGCTGAGAACAAATAAAGCTTGAAGTGTCCCACATACCAGCTCTGTGGGGAGGTCAAATAGCAACAGAGAGTCTTTTGAAGAAGCTTCCATTGAAAGATGTGTCAATGACATTGTGATGGCCCCAAAAACAGAAGACAAAGAAGCATCAAGTTCATGTGGGCCCAGAAGGCTTCGTTCCCTGGGCTTTCTCTCAGAATAAAAGTCCCTAAGCATCTCCTACAATTCTGTAATTTCACTTGAATTGAGTGTGTGTGGCTAGAAATCAAAAGCTCAGTTCTACTTGCCCATGATATAAAATCTCCACGGGGGACAAAACAAAAGGGAATATGATGGAATTGGTGCAAAAAGGTTTTAGATTAAGTAAGATAAGTACTTCCTTTACTCATGTGCTATATAAACTATTAGAATAGCAGTGAAACAGGAACTAAGACCTCCATCCTTGAAAATCAATGGGGTAGAAAAGATTCTGCTCTGTCCCACTCAGTTCTGACTCGTCATGTGCCGCTCTTGGCCTTCAACTATGGTTTAACCCTTTTTTTGTTCTTGTAGCACCTTCTTTAGACTCTGAGCAACATGGCGCTGGGACCATGTCACTTGGGCAGAGAGTAAGCCCCATAGAGTGAGGGCATCAGAGTTGTTAACTAAGTAAATAAATGCCACCAACCAAGTAAGGCACCCTATAGTATCTCTGCCAAATTGGTTCTAAAATATATATAAGTACAGCACTATAAAATTCTAAAACCTGGAATATTTGTAAGTGATCAATTAAGGAGAGTTTTCACACATTTTGCTCTGGCATGTTCTCTGACAAAGGACAAGACTAAGAGGGCAATCCTTTTTATTTAATGCCTTATGGTCTCCAGAAGTTGTACCTGGTTTGAGAGGATCAGACTCTGGTTACCCAAGCTGACTGTCCTCCATATGAATTTTTTTTCCTGTGAGGTACTGGGAGCTACTCTACCACTGAGCTACATCCTCAGCCCATTTTATTGTTTTATTTTGTGACAAGATCTCACTAACTTGTCCAGCCGGGCCTTGAACTTGAAATCCTCCTATTTTAATCTCTTTCCTAAGTAGCTGGGATTACAGGTACCCTGCTCCTGATTTTTTTTTCCTATAAAGATAATGTGTATCATTATGATTAATCCTATTCTGATTTTTCAGTTATGAATTTAGACTCCAATCCCCACTCTTCATAGCCTGGTCTGGCAAGCAGGCTTCCATAGAATACCAGCTATCCTAGACAAAGTAAAATGAATATGATCCAAAGGGAAAATCTCCAAATCAAGAGTGAAGGCACAGGAGGACAAAAGTATGAGATCTTGTGAACTATGAAAATTGTTAGAGCCTCACCACAGATAGGATTCCAAACACCTTGTACCTCCCTTCCCATTTCTCAATAGCTTTAAGAAATTACAAGTTCTGTCCTGTTGTGACTACATATTGATATGTCCACAGTCAACCTAGTATCCCAATAGCTTTTATCATATAAGCCAGCACAGCAAGACAGAGAAGATCATTGCTAACAGGTTCTGCAGGATAACAAGCCGAGGAACAGTGAGCCCCGCAGTAACTTCTTCCAACAGGGTCCTTAAAACTATTGCCACATGTTTCATCAATTCTGGATTACCAATAGGTTTCTTCTTTTTATTCCTCTTAGGTGACCTTGAGCAAAAATTTGAACTGGAAATCAGTCCTCTTTGTAATCAACAGAAAGATTCAATCCCTAGCATACAGATTGGTGAGTTGAATTCCATGTCAGTTTGAAATGAATAGTTTGGCACCTGTTCCGGGAGTCACAAAACAACAACAAGAAAGACGCACACACAGCTTTCCAAAGTTCAGTGCTGGAGGTCAGAAGGGCTGAGTCCAAACAGACATTTTTTTTTATTTTTATTTTTTTTGCTCCGAATGCCTTCAGGGCAGGTTTGGCTGGCTTGAGTTGTAGAGATACAGCAACCTGAGCCTGACTGCTTTGTTGAAGCAGCCACTTAAAGAGCTGAGCTAAGGGGCAGGGCCCCTGACATTTTCTTTATTACTGATCCACTAGATAATTCTCAACTGAGAAATTATGAAAAACAGGAGACAAGTATTGTAAGCCTTTAGTTAACATAATGCTGTTATCATATTAATGTTATGGTTTAGAATACAATTAAAATCAAATCCAGTAGAAGAAAAGTAAAAAGAATCAGCTATTTAGAGATGAGCAGTCCGCCAGACTGGGCTTCAGGACCCTTCCAGTGTGGGTCTCGACCCCCAGCCCAAACACTCATTCCCCAAAGCACAGGCCTCAGGTGCCAGAGCACTGTCATCCTCGTGTGGCCTATGGTCGCACATGTCTCTGTCTCCCACCTCAACTCACATTCTCAACTTCATTTTCTTAAAGCCACACTCTCTTTTCAAGTGTAAACTGCTAAAGGGTGATGTGGGGAAATCCAACAGAATTCTCACTTTATCTAACTGTACTATGCATAAGCTCATTAACCACAGCAAATGATGCAAATTTGACTGCTTCAATGAAGTATTTTTGTTCCAGTAAGAATTTCTATCACAACCTTAAAACTCTTGTACCATCTACGTGCAAAGCAAGCCTTTTCTTTTCGGTGCAGTTTCCTTCCATTAAAACCAAACATAGAACTTCAATTCTTTTTCTTATGAGTCTGGCCCTGAAATATAGCAGTTCATGTTTTTTCTACTGTGCCCACAGACTTAAGGCAGCTAGCTGGATGCATTCATAGGGCTATACACCATTGCAAGGGGCACAATTTAATGTCTTGGCATTGGTAGGGAAAGGGGCACGTGGAAAGACCAACTGAAGGCGAAGAAAATCAGAGCACATTAAGGTGATATGCTGATGGCCCTGTGTGGCAAATGTAACCCCCAGTGAGTTAGAAATTCATCCTCAGGAAGTAAAAGCTAGGTGGATTCAGCTTTGAAAAATATGAATGGAATATACAAATATTTGAATGGGTATACATAGAATTATGACATTAAGGATGATCCATCTCTTTCCAAGTTGCTCTTAATATTATTATGTTGTTTTTTGATAATTAAATTGATGCCTCCATCCAAAGATGGGGGAAGAGTAGTAAAAATACAGAAGCCAGGGCAGATACAACATCAGTGACAGAAATACAGCCTTACTACCTTGGATACAGTGTGTCCTGTTGTGGAGGCTCTGCAGATAAGCTTCCTAATCCCAAAACACTATATTGAACTCTGGCTAGAAAAAAAAAAAAAAAAAAATTTCCAGGTTATTTTGTTACCTGTTAATGACATTTTGAAACACACAGACATACACACACACACACACACACACACACACACACACACACACAAACACAGCATTCACCCTTTTAAACACACAACCTGGATTTGCAAGGCAGCCCTGATTTCAGAGATTCTGTCCTGCTGTTGTCATGAGAACACACTTACTGTGTCACATCGTATGTCCTGATTTTCAGCTCAGGAAATTGTGGTTACCATAGATACTTCTTTTACAAATGGGGTGGAGGTTGAGTGAATAAATAGGGAAATCCCATGGATGCTACACCGATGCACCAATAATGAGAAAGAGAAGCTGGTTGTAAAATGTCTTCCGGTTCACAATGCTCTTTCTCGTTCCGTATGTGCCAGCTTGCACAGACTCAGAGCTGGGAAGCACCATGAGGGCAGATCAGAAAAGCCTAACGGATAGCAGAATCTAAGGGAAGCTGCAGGCTCCAGCCTTCCTCTCCCCTGAGCCCCATCCAGCGATGATTTTCCCACTGGCTCCTAGTAATACAGCTATGTCCTCTGCCCTGCTTCCCTTCTGTCTAAAAGATCTCTTCTCTTTCCTGTCCCAGTCCAAAATGAGAATTTTGTAAGTGCAGGTCTCAGTTAGGCTTAGATCTGCTTTTCCTATTTAAGTAATTCAAGTTTACCCAAATGAACTCGGGACATGGTATTTCCTCCCAACACCAGCACTTGCCCCTCTCTCTGTCTCATGGTGTCTATTCAGGCTTTAAAATCATTTTTCCACCTAGTGTAAGAGCTCTGTATGTCTGATAAGTATAAATAATGATATTCATATTTTAAACAAGAGTAACATCATTTTACAAACTATCTTTTTAGATATCTAATATCTAATTTTTAAGTAAAAGGCATTAGAAAGTAAATATGGAGATTGTTAAGGAGAGAAGAAAATTCAAGAATAGCAGGCACAGTGGCAGCTACACAGCATCCTGTACCAGGAGGGTGGCAAGTTCAAAGCCAGACAGAGCAGTTTATCAAGACTGTGTCTCAAAATAAAAGATCAAAAGAAATAAAGGTGTGTCTCAGTGGTACAGCAACCCTGGGTTCAGTTACTGAGCACAAGAGAGAAAGGAAGGAAGGCGAAAGGAAAAGAATGGAAGAGTAGGGATAGAGAGAAGGAAAGGATAACAGAAAGAAAGAGAAAGAAAGAAAGAGAAAGAAAGAAAGAAAGAAAGAAAGAAAGAAAGAAAGAAAGAAAGAAAGAAAGAAAGAAAGAAAACAGGGAGAGGGAGGAAGGGAGGGAGGGAAATAGGGAAGGAAGGAAGGGAGAGAGGAAGGGAGGGAGGGAGGGAGGTCTGACTATATGACTTTATCAAAACGCCCAGTACAAACATGTAGCTACTGGTTTAACTTCTTCCCTTGCATTCAGGTTAACTAAAATGATCTCACAGGGGCTGGCGAGATAGCTCGGTGGTCAGAAGCACCTGCTTAGGCAAGCTTAGGCAGGCGCAGGGGACAGCAGTTCCATCCCAGCACCACATGCTGCAGCAGCCCCGCCCTCCAGGTGGGCTGAGCTGGCCAAAATAAATAAGTAAATAAAATAAAAATAAAATGATCTCACAGTATTTAAATCATATTTCACATAAGATGAGATAATGCAAAACTGTACAGGAACAGTTCACATTGTTGTAGCTTTTTCCTATCTTTCTAGCATCCTCAAAGGCCAAATGTCTACTCTGTGCCCAGTAAAAAGATTACCAAATCAAGACATAATTCATAAACCCATAAATGCACAGGCTTAGCTGCTGGAAAATATTATTATGCTGTAAAACATTTGTCTCTTCTTCCCACATTTACATTTCAAGGAAAAACAATGAAACCTAAATAAATCCCAGTTTGTGATGATTCCAAGAATTCTGGCTTAGACTGAAAGTTATCTTTGCTTAACAAATCATATTTAATATGGAAAACACATTAACATCTAAACACAATTAGGAAGCATCAGATCCTCAATCATTAAGAGAACAGACATCAAGCAGAGAAGTAAGAGGGACTGTTCTTACAGCTAAAAAACTGTACTTAAACTGAATGGGCTTGCTTTCCAACTTAGGGCCAGGGCGCACCCTTGCAAAGAGTTTTTTCCGTTTGTTTTGGTTTTTGTATTTTAGGCGTCTACAGGGTGTTCAGGATCTCACTACTAGAGACTAGTAGTGATCCGCACACGCACCACTCCCAGTCTCAAATACCATCTCCACGCGTCAGGGGATTGAACCCCGGACCCCTGAGCCTGCTTGCAGGTGCTTTAATCCACTGAGCTATTTGGCTGGCCGTTCCCTGCAAATAGTAACAGCCCCTATTCACTCAGGGCTTCTTCTGTGCCAGGAGCTGTTAAGCACTGTACATGTTGTGTTAGTCAGTTTTTCATCACTGTGACAACTTTCTGAGAAAAACAGTTTAAAGGAGGCTAGGTTTGTTTTGGCTCATGGTTCCGGAGGATTTAGGGCTTGGGCAGCTGGCTCCATTGCTTTAGGCCAGTAGAGATTCAAAAGCGCCACAGCAGCGGGCCTGGCGGAAACGCAGCCCAGCTCCTGCAGAATACAGAGAAAGGAAGAGTTAGAGAAGGACCCGGGACTGGAGGCGTCCCGGAGGTCATCCCTCATCATCTGCTCCCTTCAGCTGGGACCCTCTCCTGCTTCCATCACCTCCGGATGATGCTCTTAAATTCGGATCTCAAGCGGGTGGGCAGGCTGTGGGCTTGCTTGCTGTTGTTAGCGCTTTTGCACAAAAGAAGAAACTGAGGCACCGAGAAGCTCAGGGACAGGCCCACAACAACACAGCTCAGGGACCTGTTAAGGGTAGAGCCCGCACTGTGCTGGCGTGGCTGTCCCCGCCGGGTACCTCGGACCCCGCGCGCGCGCTCGGGAGGGGCTGCGCGGCGAGGCCTTGGTGACGGCGGACTTGTGTTGCAGGTTTCATGACCTACATCGTGGAGCCGCTCTTCCGCGAGTGGGCGCGCTTCACCGGGAACAGTTCGCTGTCCGAGAGCATGCTGAGCCACCTCGCCCACAATAAAGCCCAGTGGAAGAGCCTGCTGTCCAAGCAGCACAGGCGCAAGGGCAGCGTCCCCGGCGCGGACCCCGACGGCCCGGCGCAGAGCGAGGCGCAGCCTGCGGCCCGGAGCGACGACGACAACGCGCCCTAGCGGCCCCGGGGACGCTGGATCTCCAGAGCGAGCGAGCGAGCGAACGAGCGAGGCCTCCGGGAGGCGCCACCGAGGGGCTCTGGCCAGCAGCCCGGCGCTCCTGGGTTTTGTCCCAGGCTCCTTCGAACGTCGCCCTCCTCCCACTTACCAGCCTCCCCTCCTTTTCCCAAGTGTACAGAAGCCATTTGTCACCTCAGCATTTGCTGCCGAAACAAGCAACTCCATTCAGTCATGCGGGACCTGACCCTCGTCCCCCAGGAGAAGACAGGAGTGAGCAGGAGGTGCTGTGTCTGCCGTGGCCCTCTGGGCGCGGGTCGCACTGCGACAGGCAGCAGCCCCGAGGTCCAGAGCATTTTGGGGTTCACCGTCCGACTGCTGATCCGCAGGACAAACACACCAGCATATTTGGAACTTGGAGGATATCGGTCTTAAGTGCAACAGCACAAACGCGAGTGTGAGAGTACCTTCTATTTTAATAATAATTATTATTATGAGAATAATAATAAATCTTTTTAACTTTTATATTTTATGCACTAGACAATGGATCTAAAACTCTGGACTAAGATTATTCAGTGTACCCAAACTTGAACAGGGGGTTCATTGTTTTCCTATTGACTTTACGCCACTTTGGGTCAGCGATTTTGGCATCTTCTCAATTTAAGAATCACGTTTCCTTCTGATCAGGGGAAGGTGCTGTACAGTTCACTCGTTTGCACCATTAGCCAATCTGTCTTTTATGGATTCAGTGACCTGTTTATATTCACACATGTACATTTTCTGTAAATAACAAGCGCTACTGATTCCCATGCCAAAATACATGAGTATTATGGGATTGCTACCTGTATAAACAATGGCACTGTGAACAGAATACTGTTAGTTTTAATACAAGAGAATGCATTTGTAAATATGGTATAGAGTTTATTAATATACTATTGTTTGCAGATAAAGGCCTTAACTTTAAACATCTTTTTCATCTTCTGAAAGCTGCCCAACCTAAATCCTCACAGATGTCTCTCTGAACTGCCTGCCCAGGGCCATCACTACACTTTCCACCGCAAACCAAAACTGAGAACAGCACGGGGGACGTGTTTGCATGGAAACTTCACGCGCATTCCGCTTGAGACCATAGTGTTTAATCTATGGCGCCAAGCATCCTTCCCTGAGATGACCGAGACCTTTCAGCAAGCCTGAAGCCACTTCTCAACGCAGTGACGCTGCACACTGCTTTAACAAGCCAGCTGATAAGTTCGTGTTTCTGTGACGTGTTATGGAACATGGCGGTGCATCAGCCTCCTAGGAGACATAGCAGGTCTTGGAAACATCCCAGACCCTGCCATCCAACCATCAGGGAATTCCCTGCTGCCATCCCACCTATCTGTCTGTTATGGCTACAGTACCAAAGTATCTTTGGTCTATGATTGGTGTGTGTTTCCTTCGTGTTAATAGTAATTGGATTTTTCTTTTTCCTTAATTTCCTGTAAACCAATACCCCACTGTTTAGCTGAAATTAACATTATTTAAGTAAAGAAACTATTTCAGTTTTATGGCAGATTCGACCTTCATTGTGATCAGTTATGGCTGGAGCTAGTAGAGATACTTCCGAATTTTGTTGTCCTTTTTCTCGGCAGACACTTGACTGCAAAATCCAATTGTGATAAAAATTTTCCTAGTCTGCTAAACCCTGTGCATTGAATCATTTCCTTAGAAGTTCTAGCATAATTAATGCTCAACAAAAATTGTTGATGTCCATTTTTTTTTTACCTTAAACAATGTGGTGGTGGAAGACTAATCATTTCTGCCATAATTGAGCTGTTTCTCAACCTTGTAGAAGAGACAGCCAGCTCTCAGTTCCTAAGTACAATGGGTTTGGTTTTCCTTTTTTCTCCTGACATAAATATTAAACATTAGAAACTTGACTGGCCTGTAATAAGTTCCTGTAAGAGAGACTGAGGCTTGTAGAGGTATGGTTTAGGGAAAAATTTGGAAAGTTGGTTTTATTTTCATTAAAGAAGGTGAGATTGTCAGATGGCACTAATGAAAGTGTAAAGATCTTATGTAATGGGTGGGTGGTAAACTGAAATTACTGAGATAGGTAAAAAGAGAAATGGTATAAACATAGAAAACATTAACTTTTGCTTTCTGTAATGACTATTAATTGACACCCGTTTCATTATCACGTAACCATTCTGAAACTCAGTTTGATGAGGCCCCAGAAGAGAATCTGTCAGTCGAATTCCTGCTTTCAAACCTCTCTCATTCGGTTAGATGATTCAGAGTGCTGTGGAGTAGTCTGTTTTTAACGCACATGAGATTAAATCAAGCAATGAGATTGCTGGGAATGGAAAAGTAGAGATAGGAAAGAAGACATTGTTTTGGCTAATGGAACCTCTACCTTGAGCTAAAGTAGATTTTGTTTAAATTATAATTATATCATAACTTAACTAAAGAAGATCAAAGGTGATCTGAGTAGCTTCGAGTTTATAGAGCAAAAAGTTCTGGTTACAACTGAGTTCTAAAGAAGAGCTCACTGATAAAACTTCCAGAACACCCAATGATTAATCCTATGTAGTATACTAAAAATCTGAAGTAAAATGAGATGTGGTCCAAAACTAGGTGCATTTGTCTTTGTCATTCAACTGTCTGGAGAGTTAAGTCCCACTTTGTTGGAAAAATAATAATAATAAATAAGAAAAAGAATGTGAAAGCTTTTCTTCTTGCCTACTAGTGGCTCTCTTGTAATACTTCAACAAGAGTCCAATTACAAGTTGAGATATACCTACTGGATCATCCACAGGTTTTTATCATTACAGTCTTATTCTGCTAGCCCATATATCATCAATCACTGACTTACAGAGTTTAATTCTTTCATTGCTTGAGAAAAAAGGACACAAAGGGCTATTTTTAGTAAGCTAAAGGTAAATAAAGTGAAGATCAAATTAAGAAAGTAAGTATACATCACTGCCGGGCCTCATAGTAAAAACAGCAATGAAAAGTCAGAGCTGACTCGTGAAACCCCAGCCTGCCTGATAGCTCCCTGCTAGGCTACATAAAAACTGGCTGTTTCTCCTACTTATGGCTTCCCACACAGGGGCCTGGAGTGTGTCTGGTAACCCTGTCTTCAGGTAGTTCTCCCTGTAAAACATAGACTTACTTTGTAATCTTTTCTCATGTTGAATCAGATAATGCGCACTGGTTTGGATTTGGCTATGAGCTTGTAGCCCACTGTATTTCTCATGCTTTGTTCCTTTAAGCAAACCCTTAAAATTGTGTCATTTTTGTGTACACATGTAAGGTTTGGGGAAAAATTTGTGAATTTTGCTCAAAATGTGGCCTAAATATCCATTGGCATGTCTAGATGAACAATTAAAAATAAAGATAATTTCTTAAAAATATCAGAATATGAAAATATCCTGATTCTTACCAAGTAACATATTACCAGCCAACCAATAAGAAACCATGATGAGACGAATGTTTAAGGAAAGAGCAGTGGTACAAACACGGTCCATGTGGTCCATTCCATCCGGGGACTCCAGACACACCTGTGTGGATGATGACATCACTTGCCACTTAGCACCAAGCTAGGAAAATGGCCCAAAAAACCTTCAGCTCTACATCGCTCCAAGGTTCTGATATTTTTCTCAATTCACATTTTTCAAAACTCATTAATGAGAACAAGGTACAGGTTTTAGGTTATGCAAATATAGAAACTTCATTATTTGCAAAAAAAATATAGTCTCATTTTTCAGAATTGAAAGTTGTGTAGAACAATAAAACAGTTCAAAGCAGGACAATGAGTAGCCTACAAATATCTTTAAATACATTAGAAAAAGCATAGCTCATGTCTTCCAGAAACATCCCTATATCTTTTTTTTTTTTAATGTATTCAGTATAGGGTCTACAGGGTCTCACTACACAGATACACTCATACTGATCCTCCTGTTTTCAGCCTCCCAAGAGCTGGGATTATAGGCATGCACCACCAGACCCAGTCTCAATCACCCTCTCAGTGTGCCCCAGGGACAGGGCAGGCACAGCACACCAGGGATTGTACCCAGTTCCTGTGCTCTGTCTAAGCAGGCGCTTTAATCTGCTGAGCTATCTGGCTGGCCTAGTTTTTTTTTTTTTTTTTTTTTTTAATGTATTTAGTACAGGGTTTACAGGATCTCGCTATGCAGCTCAGACTCGTAGTGATCCTCCTGTTTTCAGTTTCCCCAGCGCTGGGGTTGCAGGTGTGCACCACCACTCCCAGTCTCCTGGGCAGGGTCATGCACCTGACAGCAGGGCCGGCTCAGCATGTGGTCTATATCTTTACATATTCCCCATATCCATTTCATTAAGATTTTTACGTAGAACCCTGTGACTTTTTTAATACTTCTTCATGTCTGAATGCAAAGCCACATTTGTGTGGATCATAAAATCAAAAATCAACAGAGACCCAATGGTATCTTAACTAAGGAGCAGCCATGACTTTCAAATGTTCGTAGAAGCACATTTGAAGGGAACACACATAAACAGTTAAATTTCAATTGAGCTAGGGCTGATGGAAGATTTGCTATGCTCCAGGTGTGCCGGAGATTGAGATATGAAACACCCAGTTCCTCCAGGAACATTCAATCTGTGGCAGTGACTGGCATTATCAGTGAGTGCTTCTGAGAGAATCTGAGGCAGCCAAAGGTGCCTCCTAGATCTCAGACAACATGATAGAAAGTAGGTAAGTTTCCAAGATAAAAGCAGGCCCCTGTCCTTTTCTGTCATTAACTTAGTCTGAGTTTTGAGGAGAGTCATCAAATACACCATAAAATTATTTCCAACTAATAATGCCCTTTACAGCATTTTGGCAGTGAAGAGATTGCCTACAGAAAGCACCAAGCATCTCTGCTGTGTGGTCGACTTTCAATCGATAGAACATTTGTCCTCTGACATAACAAAAAACTTGGCAAATAGCTATTCATACATAGGTAAGAATAGGGAGAATTAAGAGAGAAATAAAGAGGTGTCAGTGATTTCCTATTAAGAAATCGAAATTTGCCTTTCAGCTGGAACAGCCGTCTTCCAGTAGTTTGCCAAAATGACTAACACAAAGGGCAAGAGGAAGGGAACCCAGTATATGTTTTCCAGGCCTTTTAAAAAAGTGGGGTTGTTCCTTTGGCCACATACACGTGAATCTACACAAAGGGTGATATTGTAGATATCAGGGGAATGGGTACTGTGCAAAAAGAAAGGCCTCATAAATGTTACTGTGGCAAAACGGAAAGAGTCGACATTATGCAGCATGCTGTTGACATTGTTGTAGCAAGTTAAGGGCAAGATACCTGCCAAGAGGATTAATGCGCATATTGAGCACATTGAACACTCAAAAAGTTGTGATAGCTTCCTGAAACGTGTCAAGGAAAATGATCAGAAAAAGAGAAAGAGAAAGGTACCTGGTTCAACTGGAGCACCAGCCTGCCCCTCCCAGAGAAGCGCACTTTGTGAGGGCCAATGGAAAGGAACTTGAGTTGTTGGAACCTATTCCCTATGGATTCATGGCATAAGCTGGGGATGTTGCTCTGCCATTCAGTACCTAATTGGCAGCTTAAGTGTTGTTCTAGGTTCTATGTAAAAATAAAATCATCCTCTGTTGTAAGGGTGGTTTTCTTAGTGGAACAGATATGTGGTGCCTTCTTACCTCAGAAATATTTGCAGCAGATTTTCACCATACCTAGTAATTGTATCTAGTCTTTTCAGTGTTTTTCTTGATGAAAGATATTGCTGAGGTATTGGGCAGGTATATACCCAAATATTCAAATATTTATAAAAAATTTCTATTGGCTTGAAGATCCTGTAAATCATCATGGGGAAAAGATGAATCAAAATAAATGGAAGTCACTTCAGAAACAAAAAAATCAAAATTCATTTTTACAGTTTTTGACACTCAGCTAATTTAAATACTTGTCTATTTGAAAAGCTGAATAAAAAGATAATCCCTTCAATCTGTTGCCCAAAGCAAGATCCACTTAACATATTTTTCTGGTTAGTCCCCCAGAATCTAGGAGAAAGGCCAATGTATCTTCTCACTGCAGTTCCACAGAAATGTCAATGAAGGAAACAAGGCATAAAAACAACATTAGTCATGTACCTCCCTTCTACGTAGGCCACCAAAGCTCTAATTCTTGTCGGTACAGCTGTGTTCCTGTGGCTCGGCCTTGAAGGTGCGTGGAGCTTTTGGCAAGGAACGGCCATGGGTTGGTGTAGCCCAGGCTTCCCTCAGTTCACACCACTCACACGTTTCTAAATACGTCCCCAGCTACTGCTTATTGTCTCTCTTAGTCACTCGTTCCATGCTGAGACACAACACCCAACACCCCGAACTTAAAGGAGGAAAGGCTTATTGGGGCTCACATTTCTGTCCACAGTCCGTGGGCATCAAAGAGGAAACAGCATAGCCAACAGGCATGGGAGAGGAGAGCTATTCACATCCTAGTGCCCCTGCAGCAGAGCACGAGAGGAAGAGTGTGGGGTCAAGACAAACCATTCCAGGCCGTGTCCCTGGTAACCTATCTCCTTCACCCAGACCTCAGCTCCAATAGCAAGCCAGCTATTCCACCCCATGACCCAACTACCCCTCCAAAGCCTGGGCTATGATCACATGAAGCCTTGCAGGGACATTTAGATTGAAAGCAATGTCCCACAACAGGTCACGAAGCAGAGCCACGTCTTAACATCCAGCAGAGAAGAGTGAGGAGTCCCTTCCTCCCTCCATGGAAGTGGAATGAGTAAGCATTTGAGTAACATCTAAAGGAGAGCTTGGCTATCAAACAGCACATAATGGACTTTTTATTTGCAATTCATTCAGAGATATTATTGAAAACTTTTTGTTTTAGCTTATCTCAGTTATCCAAGCAATGAGAGATTATTGATTCCATTGTCTAAAATTCTTCAAATTCCAATATTACAAGGACTGATTGAATCTTCAGCATTTTTTTCCTTTTGGGAGAACAATGTGGTAGCTTTGAAAAGATGAACTTTGGAGTCAGACAGATAAAAATTTCAAATTTCTCAGCACTAGGAAAACAATTAAACGTCCCTGAACTTCTGTCTCTTCATGTGTGAAATGGATAGTAAGACCTATCTCCTGGGGGAGTTGGGAGATGGAAAGCAAATAGCATGCATTGCACATCCAACACCATTTCTAGATGAAAGGGGGTTCTTATAGTTTGTATCTGGACTGTCTCCAGGAAACACGCTTCTTAAAGGAGTTGGTCCTGGGCATGGTGCTAATGGGAGGTGCTGGGATCTGTCAGAGAGAGGCCTACTGGAAGGATGCTGTGTATTTAGAGGTGGAGCTCTGAAGCAAACATTGGACCCTGGCTTTTTTCTGTCTCAGTTTGCAGCCTCTGTACGGTAAGTAGTTTCCTCCACCATGCACCCCTGTCGTGATGTGCTGCCTCACCATGGACCCAAACGCAATGGGGCTAACTGACCTCCAGCACTCCAAGCTCGAATAAACTTTTCCTCTGTACGCTAATTATTGCAGGTATTTTTGTCATAGAGACAGAAAACAGACCAACACAGGGGTACGCAACAAATTCTTGGGCCATTTAAGAAAAAACAAGTCTACAAAGTGGAAGTTGGGTATATCTTTCTATACATTGTGCCCGTGAAAATACAAGACCCGTGAATGAACATGGAG